TACCGTGCCAGTAACTGCGGTTTTAAGTAATGTGTGATGGAAATTGCAAATGAAAAGGATGTGGAGTATTACACTGGTTAAAATTAATCAAACATATCGCCCTAATCTCCAACACTACCGCACTCGCTAACCTCTACCTCCATCACAGGTAATAACATCTTCGTTTCGTCGTCACACACTGGTACTCGGTATGATATCGCTGTTTTCATGGAATTTATTTCGAGTAATTCTGTGTTTGTTAGCTTTTTGATCTTTGAATCCCTGGCATCAAACATTTACCTTCTCAGTCTACTTAGTGGTAACCATGAAGCAGTGAGACTTCGAGTAAAATCAAGTCATATGTTTTGCGAAAATAATTTTGAGGAAGGCAACATTGCCAAAGCATTTGGGCTACTTTTAAGTACTAATGCAACCTTGTAAAAGGACATCACAGGACATGATGCCCTGTTGACCGTGGTGATGATTTGACTCCATATCAAGCAAATCCCTTCATGACAAGTGCACTTTTTCGGGTCACTGAGGCGTGCGGGTCACACGAACCGCATGATGATGATGATGTCAAGATTGGCAGCGCATGATGGATTTTGGCAAATCCGTGCTTGCCGCGAACACGAGTTCTCACCGCGCGTAGTACACGCCCGTGGGCAAGGCATTGGCGCCAGTGGGCTAACAATTTGTTTACTTTCTCCTGGTTGATTTTGGTTAAAAAAGGTGACTATGCTGGCAATCTAAGTAAAGCTAAATTTGTACGCCTGTCCCGTTTTTTGTTTTAATCCAATCTACTATGAATCAGCGTTAGGAATGATGGTTTTTAACCCAGAAAATTTTACCCTTAGGAGGCAACCAAAACGCTTATTAGAAGTCTGAATTCAGCTGTAATTTACCAACGCTCGGTGTCTGGTGTTGAGTGAAGCAACTGTTGTGATATTAGAGTTTAAAATCAAATGGTATTTTTTTCAAATTTCCACAATTATATGTGAATGGGAGTCATTAATCCAGTACACTTGGGTATTTTAAATTAGTTTCCTGCAAATTAGCTTGAAGGACTATGCTCTGAAAGACGTCCAGCCAGGTGGATTTGTCGAGAATTGAGGAACTTTGGACTGAAGAATGGGTAATTTGGACTTAATTGCAGCTGAGGTTAAAGTTTGAATGCCAGTCATGTTGGCATTCATTCATTCATGTTCACTTAATATAGCAGTTGCTTAAAGAAGAGGAATTAAAGTGGGCTAATGTTTCTCAAATACATTACGTAAAACTTACTGTGTTACAAATAACTGTCGTTTTTGGTCAAAATAAAATTCTTGACGAATTTAGTTGACGGACGATCAGATAGCGGAAGGCCGGAACATGACGAGGAGATCTGTAATGGCAAAATTCTGTCAGTTCCACTTGAAGGATTAAAGCTGTAGTATTTACAGAACCCATGTACTACAAAAATTTAAATTCAAATGGACTACAACGTGATTCATTAGTGAGCTTTCGTTTGCGTAAAACGAGTATTAAAGGTCAATGCGAAATGCTAAAAAACTAATTCAGCAACCAAGAACCTATTATTGTCGAAAGAGCCTGATATGGTTATAAGAATTTTGTGTAAATACACGTGTTAATTTATTAGCTTAGGCCATATTTGGGTAACAATACGCTAAATGAAGAACATTGTCTATCAGCGTAACTACCAAAAAAATAAGCTTGAAAATAACATGGAGACTTCTCAATAAATGTTGACATCATTCATACACGACACTGCTTGTTTCTACTCCAAACTCAAATGCTCAGTTGGGAACCATAACTATACTGAAAAGCAATATGCTTGATGCAAATATGAATCTAAAGTACATAAGTACATAACCAGTGTAATACTCCACATCCTTTTCATTTGCAATTTCCATCACACATTACTTAAAACCGCAGTTACTGGCACGGTAAAGTCTACACAAGGTAATGTGATGTGGTTTGATAATGAAATAAGGTAGGAAGGTAAAGAGGACATGACAACGTCCAGTTGATCCGCCTTTCTGCTGCACTTAGATATCGATGACGATTGTGAATTATCACCCAAGCTTACAGTCTGTTAACCTGGCAATGAGCTGTTGAGAATGAATGCATGCATGTGTTGTAAATATTAGTTCGAAAGCAAGGCGACGTGAGTGACATGAGTGAGCACCAGTTAGTGTTAAGTACAGTAGTAGAGCTAAGAGCATTTGAATCGTCAGTGTGTTGCGGAAGATTGCAATCCAATGTGGTTGCAAAGCCCACGTCTTCGTCAGCTGCGAAGATGCTCGCAACTATCGATTGCTGACTGGACCACGTTGGCAGCTAGACGTCTAGCAAACTCGCCTGTCACGTCGTCACATCAGATGTAGTCAAGTGTACCTAGCAAGTCATGGGCGGTTGTCTTTTCATGTTCCATTTCCCTCGGTGGCTATAGCTGCGACTAGTGAGGATTCACGCTCACGGTCTTGTTCGAGTGAGTCTCTTTACGGCTGCACTTAGATAACGAGGATGCTTGTGAATCGTTGTTCCAGTGTTGATGTCTGTTAAGGTGGGCATGCGTTGGTGTGTGCAGAAACATGCGAGAAGTATATGGAGGCTGAGAGTGAGTTCAAAGCACTGTAGACGATTGAGGCGAAACGAGAATATCATTTGTCTGGAAGTGGATGGCCTCAAGGATGGTTTGTTGCGAGGATTTACTGTTGAGACTACAGACTGCCTGACGACATCTCAGCTGATGTCACTCTCGCCACGACCTTCACACCATTTGGCATTAGCCTTCGTGCAAAGTGGTGAAAGACGACGCAGTTTATCATCTGGGTGGTGTAAATGCAAGTATTGCTACAGGTGGGAAGTGATGCCGAATGTACATCAACACGCCTGAAGACCGAAGTGTTGAATTGATCGCAAGTCGCCGTGGCTGCGTTGCATGTATTCAGCAACTGCACAAATTACAAGCTATTTGTTTTGACCCACCATGTCTCGCGACAAGCCTGTGTGCATGAAGTCAGCTAAAAATAACCTGGAATAGATGCGACGTGGAAGAGAATTAAGGCACGTCGTGTGGAACATTGCGACGAGGATGAAGTGAAAGGAAGATTACTCATCAAACTGATTGGCAAGCGAGTGTGGAGTAGTTTGTTGCGAGAAAATCACTTGCATTGAAATGAATGTCCGTGTACCGTCAACGCACACACGTGGGCGTGTCAGAACTCGTCAGAGATCACGACACACGACACTGCATCGCAAAAAGCTGAGGGACTCTTCACGGGTTATCGTTTAATCAGATTGACGCACATCGACCGAGGACGAATTCGACAAGGCGAGTTGCACAGCAGATGCCTCATCCAATGGACTGTAAGTCGGTTTCGCTTGTAAAGCTCAGCAAACACGTGGTAAGTCGTGATTGTGTTAGCGCCATTCCACTTTACCTACATGGTGGCAAGCGTGATCATGAGATTGGATGGGTTTGTGTCGTGTGTGTGTGTGTGTGTGTGTGTGTGTGTGTGTGTGTGTGATGGCGAGTCATGACACGGTGGTGGCCGTAGTGCGTGTGACTCACACGTGGGCGAATGGGCAATTGAAGTAGAAAACGGACAGCTGGTTGGTGACCCGGATGCAGACACTGGCTGCTGTGCACGTGCGTTGAGCCCTTGAGGCGAGAGACAGTGCCTCGATGGTAGACGACAGTGAGAAGAATGCGACGAATGAGCATAAACACTGACTGGTTCATTCTTGCAGCAGTTTGATGCCGTCACTTTTCGTCGGCGTGTGTTTATACACGACGTAGATGGAGATTCAAACGCGCTTGGTGAACGCATGCGGAGAGAATTCGTTATGGTGGTGTGTTAAAGGCAGGAAATATCAGCTGATTGTGTGGAAGACGGATTATTTGGCATCTCAGTGAATGTTGAAGTATGTGTATGAAGACGGAGAGGCGGAGTTTCAAGATGAGAGTGTCTTCGGTGTTTAACTTGCCCGTCGGTAGACAGGATGGCATCGAGTCGGGTGTCAGACCACACTTGAGTACGGCGCGTGTGCTTGAAAATTGGGTTAAGGAGATGTGGACATGCGTGGTGATGAAGCCGTGCAAATGCGAGTCCACAGGACGATGATGTGATGATTTTCTTGCTAAGTCGCTGATATTCCTGGTAGCGGAATTACGATGTGCTCATTGCTCATTGGCTACGGCGACAAAGAGACTAAAGGGGTGAAGACAGACACTGTCGAGGGTGGAGGAAGTCACAGCTGGCCTCACAGGTGCCTAGTAAAACAGACGTTGCTGGAATAGGTCGATCACTCAGTCGATGCCTTTTTAAGTTTGAAGGGTGAAAGACGGTACTCGCTTTAGGGAACCGAAGTGGGTGTGAGACATGGTCTTATTTCAGTGACGGTGGGTCAGTTAGATGTGCCAAGATGAAGTACTCACTGCTTTTTATGTGTTGTTTTTCGAGAAAAATATTCGTTTATGTGGCTTTAATAATACGTGGAATTCTGAGTTGGTTGAATTCGTCGATGAATGCTCACTGACACTGTCGCTGATACTGGTCTGTTTGCGAGATATTGCGGTGCGTTCCAGGGATGCTATGCCAGTAGTCAGGTGTCGCCTTTGAATACTTTGCATGAGGTCTCTGTCTTTTGAAGTAGATAGAAGGAATGTGCTGATCTGTCTGTGTGGACACTCACAGGATGCGTTGAGTTGAACAGCACACTGCCGTCTCTGATGAGCAGTTCGTCCAACCTCAAGTCGTTTACAATTTTCTGCGCCTATTTGCCAATTGACTGCTGCCTTCATTTGAAGAACACCACTCTGTGCGTGCAGATGTGACTTGCGAAGCTTTGTGCATCAGAGAGTGCTTCACTCGTGTGATCAAAAAAGAGCGTTGGTGTGGAATGATGGGTGGTGCAGTTGGCCTAATTGGAAAGTCACCCACCTGCAATTGTAGACACTCTCGTTCTAAATGTTTAGGAGTGCAGTTCAGTGAGCAGAATTATCACAATTCCAGGGGGGTGCGGAAATATGCCTTTAGCGCATCAAAGTACATTTAAAGCACGTCGCAGATAGTGAGTTGAGGTCGAGGTACACCGGGTGCTACACTGTGTTCACGACTGTACGAACAATCTAAAGCATCATGCCGTTCTCGCCATCTGGTCTGGATTCGGACAGTGTTGGTGGCAAGCACGAACATTCGATGACACGATGACAGCCATCGAAAATGCCAATCTCACGTGAATGCTCGAGGGTGGTTTACAAGCGCACAATCAAATAGATGAAAGTGTTGTTAGTCAAGCTGGTGGTTTTCTGCAGCGAGATGAGCTTTCTGGCCGGTATTCACTTGTGTTGGTGAGAGCACTTAAGCAGTGGAGGCGAGTGACGTGAAGTGACTGCGACGCTAATGCATGAGGTGATTGTTTAAAGTCATTAATCAGTGGAGGCTTTCGAAACAGTCTGGAATGATTGATGTGTGGCGTCGTCGAAGTTTCCATCACTGTGCAACGGTCGTCCATTAAAAATAGCGCAGTAAACGCATTCACTTGGATCCATGTGATTCTATTTAGAGCACCGGCTTGTGTCCAAATTAGTAGCTAGAGTTAACTAACCTTGTGTAATTGGTGGAAAATAAGGGGATCTGACACGTCTATCATTGCGTTTGACTATCAGCAACACAACCGCCAATTTGGTGATATTTGGATGAAGTCGATTTTCTGGTGAATGACTTCCTTGGCACAGCGTCATCAAACCACTGCGGATGTACGGATTATGGGATGTAAAGTTGAATAGGGAGGCTTGTATATTCCTACGACTATGCCCTGCTAATCTTTCATTGGTCCATGCCTTCACAGAATTCTCATTGCTTGCGATTATGCGCAATAACAACGCCCACGCAAACGCACACACACACATACACACACCACAATGATACGTCATGCCCAGCTGGTGAAGTAACGACATCGTCACTCGTTGAAGAGCTAGTTTGTGCCACTAATGACGACATCGTAACGACATCGTCCACCCAGTCATTGCGGTGTCTGACGCTCAACCTTCAATTCGAAAGAGCGGTTTCAAGTCGATGACGGTGCAAGCCCTGAGCGCAGTTTCATTGAATGATTAATGGATGAGCATTAGCGGCAAAGTGGTGGATGGTAGAAAGTAACGTCGCCAGTTTGCTCCAAATAATCGTTTGTTGGTGACAGATGCCAGAACAAGTTTGCACTAAAGAGCTAATCGGAGCACCTAGCTAGCTTACCTCAGTCATGATGGATTGTCAGATCTGTTCGTCAAACATATGCGAGATTGACTTCCAATATGGTGACGATAGCGAAGGCCGGAAATAATACTTGTCTGGTAGACTGATGCAGCTAATTTGCGTGGAGGTGTGAGGGTTTTAAAGCAACATGTCTGCAGTTGAAGGGTTACTCGTTTTGACAGATTGTCTCCGGCTTAACTGTGACTGCTGTGTTCACGTCCAAGCCGAAGTGATCAGCTTCTGACATGGGATAATCGGTGTGGTGGTAAAGCGACAAGTGACACCCGCATGCCCAATATTTGCAACGGTAGAGGAGTGTGTGGTGAGGAGTGTTTGTGTGAAAATGCGATTCACCTAAGAAGATTCCGCTTTACTTCACTCGGATCAAATGCTCTCGTTGCACTTCTTTTTTGATACCATCAGTGACACACTCAACACTGTGCCTAATTATCATTCAAAGTTGTACCAAAATACACATCAATCGACGTTTCGAGGCATCGCACTTAAGTGTGATTTCACATGAGTTGCGGTCGATGTGGCGGTTAAGTTGAGATGTGCCTGTCACGCAACGTCTCATCGCCAGTGCGTGGTAGTTCATCCGCAGTCTGCTATTGGACGGTCTATTTACTTATCACACAGTCAGTAGTTGACGCACACGTGCCTGCTCACAGCGTTGGTCAGTGTGATCACATCACTCCCCACTACCTGTGCTCAACACATTATAGCTTCTGTAATCGGCCTTGTCCTCGTCGTGGTTACGAATGCGGGAAACACCGATGACGGAGTTTCGGTGTGTCGCATCTTCTGCACCATGTTATTCGAATTAATTTAAAGTGACTGTGAGGGCGAGTAGGTAAGATGATCGGCGGGGAGTGGAGAGTAAAGGTGGTGGTGGTGAATTGGCGGATTAGGAGTGAGTTGGAGAGTGGAGTGAAAGATGTGATAAAGACGTGTTTTGGTTTGCGGACAAGCCGCAGTCGCACTTGTTCCCACATGATGGTGAATCGCATGTGGGTGGGAGGAGTACAGATCGAGTGAGACGCGGATTATGTCGGTCGAGGTCGGTCAACCGGAAATGAGCTTGATCGAGACTGAGAAGAAAGGGCATTGGAGTGGGAAGAGAAGTAAATGGACGCGAAATTCGGTTGCCGGTTGCCACAATGTGAAATGCTTGCCTATTGAATGCAGAGCAATTCACAGTAATAAATGAATCATTATGAATGCAATTAAACCGTTCTCTCTTCTGTCGCCGGTGATTGGTTGGTAGTGGATTTGGGAGGAGCACTAATGTCGCAGTCCCAGGGCTGTGCCAAATTTGAATTTCTGTCCTTTCAACGGAGTGCAGGGATCGGAGTAGGCAGCCCATTTTAAACTCAACACTTGCCTTATTTTTGCTTCACCAACTTTGGTAATTAGGCTGACAAACGACTTAGCTGTGGGCTAGTTGCGTGTAGCTGTGTACTGTTACTCGTCAATGCACTGGCCTTTCATTCGACTGCCACGAGTTAGCAGGGCTAGTTCTACGTGCAGTCACGCAGATATGCATTCGCACAATTTGAGTAGTTGGATACTGTCGAGGTGAGACGGATCTAAGTGAAAAGAGGTCGTGAGAAGTAACGTGGATGGAGAATGGGGTTATTGGCTGCCGCGATTTTTATTTCATGACGAAATCCATGATTGCATGAACTCAGTTTTCCCCGACGTCGTATCTTCCCCGTTTCCGCCAACACAGATGACTCTGGTTCATAGTCTGTTTTGTTTGCGTGTCCTAGTGTTGCGAGTTGTTATTATTACGGGAAATGTCACAGCCAGGCTTCATCAATTATCTGACCCGTCCATTCAGCAACAAGTGACAGTCACTATGTCAAGGCAGAATAATGCAGGAGAAATTGGCCATTGCAGACATATCCGTGTGCCGAAGAATGGGTAATTTCTGTAACTGTGAGTGCAGAAGTTGCCCATTCCCGTCGCAAGGAATGCACATGCAGATGAGAGAAAAAGAGGTGGCAGTGGAATTTTGATGCCTGCTGATAAATCACTGGACCAATTGTTATCATCATTTTCACAGGCATTTCGTGGTGTTCTTGGCAGTGGGCATGAAGAGCGAAATGAGCCATTGCCAGCATCTACTGGATGGGCGAGCCTGTTAACCAGTAACTAATGCATTCTCATGGACAGATGAACTTGTACGGGTTTGTGTCAGGCTGCTCATAAGTGCATTAAATGTAAGGAGACTATCTAATTGTGTACGCTCATGAATTGGTCTGTAATTGGTGTTTTCCTGATGCACCTGAGCACCTGATGGGTTTATCTACCCTAATGTTTGTTACTCACTCCTCAAATCACAGCCGGGGAGGCATCACTGTTTAACTATCAAACAACCAGCAGTCCTGAAGTAATTTCGTACTTCAATGCAGTCTTTATGCCATCCTACCGCACTTTACGATCTTCCGTCCTAATTTCACGTGCATCAGACTGGTGTGTTCGAAGAACAGACACTGATTCCATGGGAATGTTGAAGATGATGGTTCGGTAGATCTAAATGCTCTGTAGTTCTTCAAAGAAGGCAAGGCATTGCAGTGTACTCTGAAAGTATTGAACTAATCATGCCAAGGACGAGATTGGGTGTTGACCACGTAGAAATCGATGTCGCCTAAATTCCCGCAAGTCGTCCACATGCGCTTTTATCGATAAACTTGGTAGTTCTCTAATAATGTGCAAGGTGCAAATTTAAACAGAAATGAAGTTAAACAGGTGAATTTGGTAAGGAAAAAGTGGGAAATTAGTGTGGAGTAAGTGTGGGTGGGTTGGTGCAGTGTTGGAGAGCCTGGTGCAAGCGCATCTTTGGGTGCTAGAAGGGAAGTTGGTGATCACCTGGTCGCTATCACCTGAACCACGTGGAACACGCGCTGTCTTGGATTGCGGTCGCAGCTGCAGCAGCAGAGATTTATGACTGTCGAAGTAGAAGAAGAGGCTTTGGAACGTTTCGCCATGATGAGCAGCACAACTTTGCATTCGCACAACTGGTAGCAAGACAGCCGTGGTGAAGTTGTGCAAGGTTGTGATCAGCCTGTTTTGAAGAAACAACAAGGAGTCGATTTTGTGGCGTCAAAATGTCAGATCCTCAATTCGACATCAATTAATGACAACTCCGAATGCGGACGATGTAATATTCGATGGCAATGTAGTCAAATTCGCAAAAACAGAAAGGGATTTCACGCAATTGATGAGGAGATCAGGCTGTTGTGGTCAATCAGTGGCAGTCGTGGCCTTCAGAATGGTCGTCTTGATGAGAGTATGTTAGTGACTGCTACATGCGCATTTTGCCAAACACTGTCCACCACATGCTGTGATGCTCTTTATTGCCAAGCCATGTGCCGTGATAATTGAATAAGGCTAGTGCCATTGCAGCATCTTGCGTTAGGTTTTTAACGCAACACGCACCGCGCATTTTAACGCCTACACGTTGAGCAGTTACATGACCGTCTCTAGGTATTCATAGCCCTTGGGATTACAAACTTGGCAATGCACCATTTTCCCTTTGAACAGGCATATTAAATTTTGTCCAATGCAAAATGGCATTCGGGATTTGAGTTTTGGAGGTTGAAATTTTGTGATGGGACATTGTGGGACGGACGAGATTCGTGTTTGTTAAGTGAATTTTAGACCGGTTTGTGTGTGTGGGTGTGTGAATGCTTGCAGTACTACGAAAGTCATCATTTGAGGCAATTGCCACGGCAATGTTGCTAGGTTTAGACACTGGAGTCGGTTTGCATCCAAGTCGGTGTCACACACAACTCACGAAGTTGAAACGACTAACGCCCATTCTGAGTTTCTTTCGAGATTAAAGTTATGCCAAAACTAACAACCGGACACGTAAATACGTGTGGGATTCGATGCATCTGAACAAGTCAGTCTAAGGAACACTACGAGTGAAGACATGGCAAGTGGGATGTAGGCCAGGAAGGATACAATTCATAGTTGTTTAAAAAGCGTCGATTTGCCACACAGCATGAAGCACCTGCGAGAACTGGCAACACAGAATCACCAATCAAATGTTATGATGAACGCGCATGCCCAAGTGAATGACGCCTCGGGAATCATGAACGGACACCAGAGGGGGCTGAATGAAGACAGCAGAGTCCGTCGAATGTAGGAGTGCTGGTTTGTGTACCACAGGAACACCTGTGTTGCTGCTTGTGTGACACTGCACACAGCTCCATCCACCGGGCTCAGACTGGTGGGTTTCGACAACGGGATCCCGCTACCTTCGTCTTTCCAAGCCTTCGCCGTGTTTGTTAAGCTATCGGAATTAACGCAGCAGCAAGTGAGGGAAATTCTTGCGGCTAAATGTTGGCTTCAGGTTGATTGGAAGTGTCAGATCGCAACGGAAGCAGCAAAGTGCAAGTTTGTGGCATTGAGGAGCAGGTTAACCGAGCTGGTCTATTCCTGGCCCCTTCATCACTAATCTCCGTGACCGGATCCGATGTGAAGCAACGACGAATTGATGGTGTCCCCAGTCCACCCCACGTCAGCGCACTTCCGGGTGGGTGTGGGGGAGAGGGATGATTAGCACAAGGACACTCGACGTCCGGTAATCCGGTCAGAAAAGTGCGCGTTGGCCGTAGTGCCGCCCAGCGGTCGACTTGATGTGCCACCTTTGCGTGCAGCTGCCTGCCATTCCGCAGTGATGGAATATGGAGGACAGTGATGTAAGACATTTCTCCACGTATTCATTCAAGACGACACACGACCAACATCAGTTGTTGGAAGCAACTAATTATCCAACTTGATCATTTTTCCAACCTAAAACACAATGTTGCAACTAAGACATTCAGGCAGTGGTTGCGTTGGCACGACAGTTGCCTGTCTGTGGTTTGACACGGTAAATGCCAAAGGAACGACATTGCAAAACTGTTGCTGTTGTGGTTGATCAAAAGGTGTTTGGGCGCGGGAGATGAAAGACGTAAGGAAAACGTGCAGGGAACACCAATCACTGACTTTATTTCAAATTGGTCCACTGCCAACTTTCGCTGGATTTTCCAGCTTGCATTATTTATTGATGGTTTCGACGTGACGCCACACCTTGACCAATAGATGCAAGATGCGAAGTGACAATCGTTTGTGCTAAAGTCGACTAACACCGATGTTTTGGCCCACTGAATTTGTTTTTAATGTATGTGAGATCTAGCTGCTGAAAGCATGAACGTTAAGTTGCCGAATGCATAAATTATGGACGCGGTGATTTCGGAGGCATTTGCTCATCAACGTCGTCTATAAACAAAACAGCACTGCCCCCTGTCCCACAGCACCCCGAATTATTGCCTGGCATCAAGGAATTTGATTGCTTCGTGCATTTGTGTGCCACATGCAGTCAAATGCTGCATGTCCTGCACTTGAACGAACCCCAAATTATTCACTGGTGATTATTGAACGGTTTTAGACGAAATAAGCTGCAAAATATTGTTCTTCTCGAAAGCAGCCATGATATAGATAGAGTGAAGTTTATTGACAAGGGTAAGTCCTCAACGATCATCAGGTGGTCCAGCTAGTAGGTCGACAGTGGTTTGTTGCGAAATGTGTGTTGCGAGTGCTCAAAGTGCATGAGTCACGAAGGCAGAGGAAGGTGTAGGTTAGTGACAATGGACCCTGTTGTGGAGTGCTTGTGGGCTTTTGAATGCACATACTCAAATTCACGCTGACTCCTACTATCTATCAGCGTGGATCTATCGAATCACTTAATGTTGTGAAGGAATCAAGGTGAACAATTCGAACCAGTGTCCTTCGATTGCTGGATCAGTCGAAGAATCGTCATTTCACAAAGCGTGTAACCTCAGCTGTGAACGCTCAAATAATCCACGTCTTCTCATGCTCACCCACTTCGACTTTCTCGGTAAAGCCCTGTAACCTAGATTGGCCAGCACATTTTGGTTCGCCATCCCGGCTTTTTTGTGTTTATTGCCAGCCCTGATTTATTTGCTGCTTCCGCAATTAAATGTCGCGTGTCTTGTTAAGGGCTTGTCAGCCATAATTAGACATTTCTAACAAATCTTTGGAGGCAGATATGATTTTTCTCAGGAAGGCCCCGTCATCGGCCAAAAAGGTGAGCTACAATTGGTGGAACGAAGTGGACAACTCTTCATGAGCATCGCATTCAATTGTTTTAGTGCAATTATTTAGTCCAACACGAAGGCCAAACTAACAAGCAGTCGAAGCACCAAGTATCGTTAGCAATGGAATTGGCGTGCCACAACATCCTGAATCAGAATAACATGCAATCTGTTAGAATGTGTTTTAATTCTGCTTTGATACTGACTTCAGTTGCTAGTGCAGACTACAAACGCAATTAGAAAAACCTCCAGAAACGAGACGAGGACTGCCATCCCGAATGGGGTGGAAATTCGACAATTGGTCCCATAGGAATACCATGTTTTTCGTCAAGCTTTCGCCTTGTTTGTCTTTGTTCGGTGCACGATGATTAGGCGTAAGAAGAGCGTGACACACTTCTTGACATGTATCAATCTGGCGCATAGTGGATTCGTCAACCAGCTGTTTCTCCGCTACATAAAAACTCAAAGGTTATGTTTTCAGTGGCGATTGGAATGGATGGCAGATTGCCATTGTGTTGTTTCAAAACCACGTATGATCAAATAATTCTAAACCCTTTTCAAAGGCCATGAGTGAATTGAACTCGTCGAAATAGCAAAAAAACGCCTTTTAGTATGTCTAGTTGGCTCAAAAAAATAAAAATTGGATGCCTAACTGTGATAAACCCGCTTTACTAACTTTAATTTGAGACTAGGTATTAAATATTAAAAGTTCATGGCGTTCAAGTCCTTTTGTCTTTAGTGATTGCAATTCAATAGATTAGGGGGCTGCAATCCCAGGTAAGCGGTTGAATCGGTGTTCACGTGTTATTATTTTGTCACCATTATTATTAGTGAATGTCAGGGAATCGGCCGTTTCAAGAGGTTGTTGTGAATCGTGTTTATTCCCACCCCTATGTCGCCAGCTGCGCCGACCCTCAACTCCCACCTCATTCGCACTAATATTTATCTTGGATTATCCTCACACCTAGGTCTCGACGGTAGCACACCTATGACACACATCCGAGATGTAAATTCAGACGCGCAAACCCCACACACGACACAACGACACCAACGTGGTTGAGCTCTGAAGTAAACGGTTGTGTCCACGTCCTCTCCG